GACCCCAACTGGAAATCCTGAGCAAAGACTTCAACTCTAGAATGGGATCCCCTAATCTTGACCTCCATTATCTGGCCCAGAACTCCAGCTCTGGACTCTAACCAGAGGCACCAACTGTTGACCCCCAGCACCAGGACTGGGCTTCCCAACCCTGATGCTATTCTCTGACTCTGGACTCTGGCCAGAAACATCAACTCCAGACCCCTGTTCCCAGGATTAGATTTCCAGCCATGACACTTGGCCCAGATCCAGAACCCCAACCTTGATTCCAATCATGTATCTGGAACTGGGTCCCAAATATCATTGCTCCAGCCAGAAACTCTAGCTCCAGATTCTTAACTCTAGAACCAGGACCCCCAACCCTAACCTCATGCCCTGACCTGAGACCCGCAACCTGGGACACCAGACACCCACCCCCACCCCCCCACCCCCAAGTCCCTAACCTTGAACTTCGGCCCATGACTCAAAAATTATTACTTTGATCTGAGACTTCAACTCCAGGACCAGGCATCCTCCAGCTCTGACTGTGCCCTGATCTAAGACCTCAGGCTTGGACACCAAGGGCCCCTAGCCTCAGCTCCGAGCCAGGACTTAGGTCCCTGAACTCTAGGTTTGGGGCCTTGAACACTAGATGCTGAACAACTTGACCTGTCCAGAAACTCAGGCTACCAAATACTGACTCCATGCCCTGACCTAGGACTCTGACTTCTTTCCTTTGGATTCTGCCTCTGGACTGAAGGCTCTGGTCAGAAATCCTCAAACTGGGTCACTAGCCAAGGACCTCTAACCCTATATCCTGGTCCCAGACCCTTGACCACAGGCCTACCTAAGACCTTGAGTTGAGCCCCCTGCCTCAGTTTAAACCCCTAGACTCATCTTGACTCTTAGCACCCAATTCTAACACCAAGACCTTCACCCATGACCTTCTAACTCTGAACTGTGCCTTGACCTCAATTTGGGACCCCAATCTGAGGTCACAGCCCACAATCCAGATCAAAAATCCCAGAACCTAAACTCACCCCTTTTCCCCCCAGATCCAGGCAGGCTTTTTACCCCAGAACAGTGGGACCAAGAGACCTGGAGCCAAGATCTTGACTAGAGACTCCAGAAGGTCAAAATCATGACTTGGGGCCCCACTGCCCAATCTAGCATCCCAAACAGAGCACCCCAGTCAAACACAGGACCCCCTCCTTCAAAACCAAGAACCAGTGCTCTGGACTCTAAAAGCCCAATTAGGAAGTCCAGGACTCCCGTCTTCTACCTTATGTTCCCCAAATCCCCCACCAGAGATTCTGGACCCCAATTTCCCATGCTAGGACTTCCAATCACAGACCCTCCTCAAACATAACAACGTGGAACCCTAACCCTCCCCCAACACTAGACCCTCAAAATAAGAGATCTCCAGTCCATAGATGTGACCTCCCAAATTCCAATCAGGGACCCAGAGATTACAACTAGAGGGCCCCTCAACTCACAACTCAACAACTCCAAATCCCTTATCCACAGCCGTCACCTCCCACCCAAGAACTTTCTCCCAAACCACACAATCTCATTATTTGGGGGGGATCCAACTCGGGATCCTCATCCTATCTCAACCAAAGACCTCTAGATCACCAATATCTTTTTAATTATGAAGTTTGGGACCCCTCAACACTCCCCAACGATCAAACCCAGACATGAGACTCCACCATCTTTAACCAGAATTCCTATAGCCCTGAAAATCTGTCCCACCCTAGTAAGAACCCTGGAGTCTGACACAACTGCCATCTTCACCCAGCATCCACCCAACCCCCTACCCCCCAGCCTTCTGGAGGCCTCGAGGATCCAGTCCGGCAGAGCTCAGGCCAGCTCTTCCTCCCATCCCCCGCCGGGTGGCTCCAGGGCTTGACCGCCAGCTGCCTGCTCCTCTTCCAGTGCTCTCAGCTCGGAAACAAGCCCTCCAAACCCAGTGGCCTGATTGCCTTAGTCCCAGGTAGTTGACCTCAGCGTCACACATTTGCCCCTCGGACTCCTGGCTGCGACCCTCGCCCATTCTCCCCCTTCTTACTTCCCCCTTCGAATCCCTCCTCTTCACTCCAGTCCTCACTAAACAGCCCGCCCAGACCTCCTTATCTTCCTCCGGATCGGCGGCTCAGCCCTTCCTCCTCTGGGACCCTCCGCCCAGCCCCGGAGCGCCCTCCTTCTTTTCCTTTTTTATCCCAGCTTCTCCTGGATTCGGGCATTCCGGCTCCCCCGGGTCCCATAATTCAACCCTAAGTCCTAACTCCATCGTCCTCCAGTCTCTTGGGAGTTGGAACTCCCCCTTTCTGGGGACCTGTTCCCATACTGACGTGCTTCCCTTACCGGGCCTGGGCCCTCCACCCCCATTCGGGACACCCGGACACCCAGTACGGCCTCCCTCAAGGCCCCGGCCTGCACCCTCCCCAGATATCTGAGATCCAGACATCAGGAGTATACTTTCCTGACTCCGGGACCCTCAGGTCCCCTCCTCTGGGAGTCCTTAGGCCACAATGCCCCTCCATCCCCCATTAGCCTCCCGAACTGGGGCGTCCTGACCGCCAGAATCCCATCTCCCGAGCCACTCAGGCCCGTTTGAACCCCAAACCGGGCTCCCAGCCCCCTCCTGGGGCGCCCCCCCTTCCTTCCAGGACCCTCCCGGAGTGCTCACCTCGCTCAGGGCTGGGCGGACGCTCCGGGCCGCGGGCCCCGCAGCCGCATGACCGGCCCCGCGGCTTCCCCC